GGGGAATCAAGCAGCTCATCTCCCTTCCCTACGCCCATCAACAGCAAGGCGTAGCGGAATGAATGTACAGGACCCTCCAAAACACCATGCGCAAGTTGCTACGTGGCTGGCACTTACCCAACCACCAGTGGCCTGAAGCAATGGACCACGCTGTGATGCTGCAAAACTTGCTCTCGTCATCATCGCTCCCGAACAACGCATCACCGCATCTGCTGTGGACAGGAAAACTGGGCAGCACAATGTCAGAGGTCCACTGGTGATCCCCGATCGATCCTAGGGAAGGGTTACAGGCACATTTGCCTGGGGGGTTATGGGCGCACTGACCCGCTACTGAAACAAGCCCTTTTATCCCAATGGTCTAGTGGTTGGGATTCTGAGATGGTATCAGAGCGAAGGTCTCGGGTTCGAATCCCGGTGTATGCACTTCGGGCATCCCAGTGCGGGGGGGTGTCAGAGGTCCACTGGTGATCCCCGATCGATCCTAGGGAAGGGTTACAGGCACATTTGCCTGGGGGGTTATGGGCGCACTGACCCGCTACTGAAACAAGCCCTTTTATCCCAATGGTCTAGTGGTTGGGATTCTGAGACACAAAAATGTTAAGAGTTTTCGGGTGCATGGTACAGTACCGACCCCCATCTCCACGAGCAGGTCAATTCTCCCAACGCGCACAGTGGGGACTACACCTGCGGATTTTCGACATCGACACAAAGGAAACAGTAGCAACACGTAAAACTCACCCTGCGGACGTACCTTGCCAACGTGGAAGAAAACAACCCAGACCTCTCGGGCGGATTCCTTGGCACCCGAGCCTTCGCTTCGGTAGAAGATGAAGCAGATTGGGATGAGCAGAACGTGGAAGGAGCCTCGGAGGAAGCCGGACCTCTTCCCTACTGTTCAGTCGATGTTCCGATGGACGACGAAAATCCGTGCGACAGCATGAACGCCGAAGTCTATTATCACTTCGCCGACAATGGTTACGTTACATCTGCGCAGGTCAACACTGACGAAGGAGAACGCGTAGGACTAAATTTCATCCCAACACCAGAAGCGGGAGACGAGCAGTCTATCCCGAGGATACAATACTTCCGCGCTACACACAGAGTGGACTCCAGATACTCGGCCTCGTCATCGCGGTCCACGGCGCAGTACTTCCTAAGGAGCCTGCCAGGGTTCAGCATCTCAGAATCCCAACCACTAGACCATTGGGATAAAAGGGCTTGTTTCAGTAGCGAGTCAGTGCGCCCAAAACCCCCCAGGAAATCGTGCCTGTAACCCTTCCCTAGGATCGATCGGGGATCACCAGTGGACCTCTGACACCCCCCCGCACTGGGATGCCCGAAGTGCATACACCGGGATTCGAACCCGAGACCTTCGCTCTGATACCATCTCAGAATCCCAACCACTAGACCATTGGGATAAAAGGGCTTGTTTCAGTAGCGGGTCAGTGCGCCCATAACCCCCCAGGCAATCGTGCCTGTAACCCTTCCCTAGGATCGATCGGGGATCACCAGTGGACCTCTTACACAGCAGGCACTGGGGGGGGAGCATAGGGAGAAATGGCACAAAGCCAAGGACAGGGAGTTGAAAGCACTGGAGGAACGCAACACTTGGAAAGTTGTTCCCATCAACGTGGCACAAAACAAGACAATACTAATCGGGAAATGGGTCTTCCGTGAGAAGACAAAGGCAGATGGCACCATTGATAAGTTCAAAGCGTGCTGGGTCGTACGTGGCTTCGAGCAAGAACACGGACGCGACTTCACTGAAGCGTTCGCGCCGGTCAGCCGACACACTTCACTGCGAATTCTCCTCGCAATCGCCGCCATGAAGAAAAAGAATCTACGACAAATTGACGTCGCCAACGCCTTCCTCTACGCACCCGTTGAGGCAGAGATCTTCGTCGAACTACCGCACGGCTCAAACGGAGAACCTAACCAATTTTGTCAGCTGCTGAAGTCCCTGTACGGCATCAAACAAGCACCGAGACTGTGGCACCAGTACCTGCACGCTAGACTTATTCGCATCGGATTCTGCCAGCTACCGCACGTCCAGGGCATGTATCGACTCACAAAGGGCAACGACTACATTCTACTCATCGTCTACGTAGACGACCTGCTCTACATCGGCTCGACCGACAACGTCACTACCTGGTTCGAAGGGGAGCTGCAGCAAGACCTCACGCTCACGGTCTCATCCACCGTCTCGCAGTATCTCGGCCTCAATATTCAAGAGGAACAAGATGCGATCTACCACAACGCCGCGAAATATACCGACACAATCGCTAAACGCTTCGGACTCACTCCGATCACCATCTCCACGTCGTACCACTACACCGCAGGAAATCACCAGGAAGGCTCCGCTCTGCTCAAGCCTGCCGGCATACGCGACTACCAGAGAAAGCTGGGATGCCTCCTTTTCGTAGCCGTCACCTGCCGTCCGGATCTATTGTACTCTACGAGTCAAGTCGCCACCTACCTCAAAAGGCCCGAAGTAGAGCATATGGCGGAGCTCAACCGCGCTCTTCACTACCTTGTTAGCACTCCGACAATCGGCCTGACCTATCACAAGAACGGAACCTCGACACCTAAATTAATCGGCTACGTCGAGGCCGATCACACCGGCGACTCCCACAACAGACGCTCGTGCACCGGCTACATCTATCGCTTCGAACCTATCGGACCCATCTCGTGGCAGTCGAGCAAGCAGGAGTTAATCGCCCTCTCCTCAGCTGAAGCAGAATATATCGCACTCTGCTCAGCCACCAAGGAAGGACTGTACCTCCGCGAACTCCTGGAGGAAGCGAAGCCGGCTCAGTTACTCAGCTTCTCCTTGTTCTGCGACAACCAGTCAGCAATTCGCATAGCCAACAAATATGGATTCGCGAACAGGACGAAGCACATCGCAATGCGATATTTCTTCGTGAAGGATGAGATTGAGAAGGGGAGACTCGAGCTGTCTTACTGCCCCACGTCCGAGATGGCACCTGATTACTTGACCCAAAAACTCGGAAAGCAGAAGTTCGAGTACTGCATGCTGCTGACTGGACAGAGCCACGTCACCAGCAGCGACACCCCAGAAGCGAAGGGGAGTGTTGGAAACAAGTAATTTAAGCGCCTCTGTCGTGTCGAAGCACTAAGTCGCAAACGAAGCGAAACACTGCGAAGCACCGGTGAGTCAAACCTCGGAGGTTGAGAGATGAAGAAACCGCTGGAGGTTACGCGAAAGTCAAAGGTCAGCGACCTTTGACATGACAAATACAGCGCGACAGCAAGCACAAACAACTGACTCGTTATTGAGCAGTTGCCCGAGTCGTCACTGTATTGAACCGCAACAGCAGCAGCAAAACGGTTGTTAGCTATAACCTTTCATATTCCCTTGTACTCTTATAAAAGCCTGTATCTCTTTGCTTTAATCAATCTACTTTGCCCTCACATACTAGCGCAAGGTGGTTCACAAGACTTGTCATTAAACGCTTCTGCTATTACATTGTTCCTACTCAGAGTTTAGTCCTGCAAAGATCCTAAGGGCTATTTCTCAGCCCAGCATATGTGGACTGGACAGCAAAGGGGCACCACCACATGTGGCCAGCTAAGGGGCACCACAATTAGAATATCCCTTGAGAAGCATGAGCACTTTGTTGTCAATGTCTATGCACAAAGCGGAACCCAATCGGGGATTAGATGCCCACAGGGTGGTCGTGTCTGTACTGGAGCCACAGCTAACGGTGGTGGTGAGAGACTGAATGACAAAAAATGGCACACAGCTGTTTTCCGGCGAATAAGAACCCCCCCGCTTGAAGTCCCCAAGTCCTCATTAGGGCCAGATTTTGCGGTGCCTGAAACTAAATTCCTAAGTTTTTTTCACTCGTGGTATTGAGTAGTGATGCATTCATCGTGCCGATGTGTTTACAATTTAGTCTCTGTCTTTCTCATTCACAACTATAGTTCCAGATAGAATGGGGGAAATGTTTATCGTTACAGGTAACGAGTTTCGTGCTTATCGAGGTTGCGAAATCCATTCCCCCAACCAACGAACCAACCATTCGAAGCCACACACCCACCCCACCCAACATGCCCCGCTACGCCACCTACCGAATCACCCAGCACCACCAACGCATGCACACAACAAATCCGTCCGTCCATCCTCCATTTCTTCTTTGTTCGTCACACTCAGACCAGACATGCACTTTGCTCCTTCAGCCTGACTTCAGTCATTCAGTCTGCCTTCAGTCTTTCAGCCTGAATCTTGTGACTACTTCACAGTTTGCGGCCGGCAAATTCTGAGAGCACTGCTATTGTCCTGCTTGTTCTGAGAGAGAATGCTTGTGTTTACCCCGTGACACGAGTCGAATTGCCAAGCATGGCGGCTTCAGCGCGAGTTCGTGAGCGATCGGAAAAATGCTCAGAACGTTTGAGTCGACGCAAATGGCCGTGCTCAGTGCTGCGCCTTTTACTCATCGCATCCACCTTTTTGGCATCCTCGTATGTAGCCGATAGCAGAGCTGGTACGCTGCACTTTCGACATTATCCGAAGCGTCCTTGCGCCTCATCTATCTCATTTCCGCGATTTCATTGTTTCACCGTTTCCGTGTCACCGGATTCCCGCCCAGCGCGCCGATAAAGCAGCGCGCCGGTAATGCAGCGCGCCGATAATGCAGCCCGCCGATGCTTCAACGCCGCGACGCTCGCGAGTTTCGGCGCGCCAAAAAAACTGCTCCGATGTTTCGATTCTTATCTTGGGAATGTCGTCGAGCCTAGTCGATGGCGCATGCGCTTCGCGTTTGAGCATTGCGATTTGATCGTCTCGTGTTAGTGTTGGTGGCGGTTTGCTTTTTCGTTTGCTTTATGTATGCTTTTCGTTTCTCCCATGAGCTGGCGTACTGAAAGGTACTCAGCTCAGCACTGGTCATGCTGAAAGTGTATCGAGGTGACTTTTGAGTCGACTCAAATGTCACTTCGTCATGCTGAAAGGTATCAAGGTGACTTTTGAGTCGACTCAAATGTCACTTCGTCATGCTGAAAGGGTATCCGTCTTTTTCTCTCCTTGTTTCCGTCCCTCTCTCCGTCCCCTGTCTCTGCCCGTTTCAACGTCCGTTTCCCCGCCCCTTTTTCCCCCCCCAAATCTGGCAGCAGCTGTGGCCTTTCAGTCGAGCCAAGAGTCACCGGAGGGGCCAGCCACGCTAGCAGCACCTGTGGCGTTTGTGGCACAACAGAGTCTAGACTCACCAGAGGTGGCTGTAATGGGGAGGAGGAGACGGTTGCAGGAGGAAAGGGGGGGTTTAAGTCAGGAGGACGATGAGGATGAGAGGCGGCAGGAGGAAGAGGAGAGGATGGAGGAGGAGTTGGAGAGGAAGGTGGAGGAGGAAGAGAAGGAGGAGGTGGAAGAGGAGAAGAGGGAGGAGGAGGAGGAGCAGCGGGGCAAAGGGGGGGAGGAACGGGAGGGGAGGGGAGAAGAGGAAGCAGGCGAGGTGGGGGATAAGGGAAAGGGAGAAGAAGAGGAGCAGGACGAGGAGGGGGTGCTGGGGGATGGGGAAGGGGAGGAGGAAAAGGAGGAGGGTGAGGGGGAGGAACAAAAGGAGGGGGAGGGGAAGGAAGGGGAGGAGGAGGAAGAGGAGGGCGCACAAGGCAAGGGAGGAAGTGCAAGAAGCAATGAAGGTTCCGGTGATAGCAGTGGTGGCGGTGTCAGTAGTGCCGGTGGCACTGCTGTAGGTGTGGGTGGTGGTAGAAGCGAAAGTGGCCAAAGCAGCACGTTTGGTGGCTCTGGCGGTGTTGGTGGTGGTAACACTGGTGGAGCAGGAATGGGAGGAGCAGGAATGGGAGGAGCAGGAATGGGAAGGGGAGAAACAGGAGCAGGAGGGGGAGAAACAGGAGGAGGAGGAGAAACGGGAGGGGAAGAGGGCGGCAGGAGGCCGGGAGGGCGGCGCTACGTGCCGCCACTGGACGCCGTGATTGCGAACGTGACGGGCGGCAGGGACCGTCCCATTGTGGTGGTCACGGCTCGTGCTGTCAACCTGGAGTTCGTTCACAACTGGTGCGCTAAGTTGGAATATACGCTACTTTCATTTTGCGTTTTGCGTTTATACGCTCGTCGAATTCGTACGTTGCGTATAGTTTGAAAATTCGCCGAGTTGAATTTCGGGCAGACCGAAAAAAAAAAACAAAATTTCAATCTGAAGCTCGCGACGTGGCGATCTCAATTCCGAGTCGCAGATGTCGCGAAATGAACTCAAAATTTGAATTTCGAGCACCAAACCTCATCAACCCCTCCCCTCAAACGTTTCACACCCCTTTGAACCACAGCATTCCACCATCCCCTCCAAGTGCTACTTTACTGGTTGGGAGCTCAACCCAACCCAATCTCCCAGGCATAAAGAGAGGCGTTTGTTCCCTCGACATTCATTCTCTCGCTTCCTATTCTAGCTATCTCCTTTCCCAAGCCACCATGGCTTCCACTCCTACAGCAACCACTTCTCGTACGCCACCCTCAGAGTCTCCTGGTAGTTCCGCTGGTGGGACCTCTTCTAGTACGTCTTTGGTCTGCATGGACAGCAAGCACGCAGTCTACCGTCACTTCAAGGTGCCGGCCAATAGCGTTGGCGAGAACGGCACCAAGGTGTGTGCCCACTGCAACTTCATGTTTGTTGGCGGGGTTCACCGTTGCGCGCAGCATATCACCAGCTGGAACGGCATGCGCCGTCGCGAAGTGCATCTCTGCACTGCAGCGCCGAAGACTGCACGTGACGCCGTGAAGGCGCTTTACGAGTCCAAGCTGAAGGCCCGTGAAGCGAAGCGTGCGGCTGAAATTGCGGCGGTCGGCGCAGTCAACGGCAGAGGTTCGGACAAGAAGAAGAGTCGGATGACCGACTTCTACGGCGACGACGCCGCGTGCGCGAACCAAGCTGCGGACGAGGCCATAAGCCTCTTCTTTGCCGCTCTTCATGTGCCGGAGCATCACGCGGACCACCCACTGTGGCGGAATGTGGTCTCCAGCAATCCGGCGCGCGGGGCCGAATTACGTCGCGCCGAAGAGACGCTACATCGGTGGCGCCGGTCTTGCAAAGTGTCGCTAGCGCATTGAGGCGGCGCTCGCTCCTATCTCAGCAAGCTGGCGCCGTGACGGTGTCACCGTGGCAAGCGACATGTTCTCCGACAAGGCCGGCCGCCCGCAAGCCAACGTGCTCCTCATCAACAATAGCGGTGCGGTGTTTGTGGAGTCGATCGACACGAAGATGGAGATGAAGACCGGGGGCTACATCGCGAGCATCTTGCGGCCCATCATCGAAAAGGTCGGCCCCGAGAATGTCGTCGCCTTGTGTTTTGACGGCGGCTCCAACTACGCGGCGGCATGCAAGGTGTTGATGCGCGAGTATCCCCACATTGAACACATCTCTTGCGCGACCCATGTCCTCGATCTCCTGATGGAGGACATCGGGAAAAAGGGATGGGCGAAGGACATCGTCACGCGCGGGGACACCCTCATCTCGTTCGTCCGCAACCATCACTTCACCCGGGGATACATGCGGAGTCCGCTCGTGAACGGCGGCAAGGGGAAACAGGTTCTCAAGCCCGCGCGAACCCGACTCGGCACCAACTACATCGCCATCAACCGCCTCTGTGAAGTGCGCGCCGGCCTGACGCAGATGGTCCTCAGCGATGAGTGGGTCGAGTGGACTGCGGCTGCAGACAGGGCTGGGGCAGACACATTCAAAGACAACATCCTCGATGCCGCGTGGTGGACGCGCGCCGAGTTCTTCGCTAAGCTGATGAGGCTGCCATTCGTCGTCATGCGCAAGACTGACTCGGATTCGAAGGGCGTGATGGGTCGTCTCTACGACCTCATGCTCCAGCTCACCGAGGACATCCGCGACTTCCTCGACGAGCATGCGGAAGGGGTCCTGACAAGCGACGAGGTGGGGGATATTCGGGAGATCGTGCAGGACCGCTGGGACAACGGGCTGGCGTGCAACCTGCACGTGATTGGCCGCATCCTCTACCCCACCAACCAGGAAGAGTGCATTTTCCGCACCGACCTGGAGTGCACGAGGGTCTTCAAGCAGTACGTCTCCAAGCACCATGGTGACAAGACGGTCACCAGGAAGGACGGGGTCGAGCGCCGCGCCTCTCTCATCATCCAGGAAGGCCTCAATGCCTTCCTGAACCTCCAAGGCAGCTTCGGCATGCCCGACGCTATTGCCGACCGCCAGGCAGTGAAGGAGGGCAAGATGACGGCGGTGGACTGGTGGCAAGGATGAAAAATACGGAAATCGTATTAAACGGTTCATTTAATACGATGGTATTTTACGGCCATTTGAGGAAAAATACGGCGTATTTTTGAAAGGGTTTTTTTTTTCTGGTTTGGTTTTTTTTTTTTCCCCTTGGATTGATATCTTCCAACTTCTGGAGGGTGCACAAAACCTTACAAAACAACATGGAACAGCTACCACGACTACTACACAACATCCCCTCCCCTCTAGTACTACTACTCCCCTCCCCCCCCCCTCTACTCTACTCTACTACTACTACTCATACTAGGTAGTAGGTAGGACCTACCTGGTGGGTCGCTACTACTCCTACTCTATGCCTCGCCCGCCTACGTCTCTTCCCCATATATCACCCTCCTTTACTCATCATCCCCCTCCTCCTCCTCGTCATTCTCCTCCTCCTCCTCCTCCTCCTCCTCCTCCTCCTCCTCCTCCTCCTCCTCCTCCTCCTCCTCCTCCTCCTCCTCCTCCTCTTCCTCCTCCTCCTCTTCCTCCCCGCTCGAGCCATCACTAATGTCCCACGGATTCTCGCCCGAGCGAGTCTTGGTGGTGGGCACATGCTCCTCCTCCTCATCGCCACTGCTGTCCGCCGCCTCCTCCTCCTCATCCTCACGCGCTGCCGCGGCTTTCTTCTTACCTTTGCTAGGCTTGGTCGCCTTGCCCTTCCTCTTCCTTTTGGAGCTCTCACGCTCCTTTTTCTTCTTCTTGCCAATCTGCCCGAAGAGGTCCCAGTCAATGGTGCATGCCACATTCACCTCTCCCTCCTCCTCAGCCCCCTCTTTCTCCACCACTTCCTCTGCCGGGGCGACGACACTCCCTTCCTTGAGGGTGCCGTTGCTCAGATCGGCGTAGAGCTTCTCCCTCACCTTCTGCTTCCTGTCAAAGGTGTCCCGAGCCCTCCTCATGAACGCGACATAGGTCACGTCCGTCATTTTCTTGGCGGAGATGCGGTTACGGTCACACCGTTGCACACGAGCAATCGCGGACCAGTAACGCTCCACCTCGGATGACGTTACCGGCTGTGACAGGTTCATCACTGCCAGCGACTGCAACGCCTTCACCTCCCCGCCATACATCCACCACCAGTCGGCATCCGTCAGGCGCCCACTCGCCACCAAGACCTTTGCAGCCCACCGTGCATCGGGCGACCCCAACAGCCCCTCGCCCTTGTGGAACTGGGCCAACTGCGCCTGGATGAGGGTGCGCTGGGCGACATCCTTCACCCGTGCTTGGATGACCGCCTCCGCCCCACTCCTCACCTCCTCATCCTCCCGCACTTCCCCCACGTATTGATTGCGGGGGTTGAGGAGCCACCCGAGAGCGTGTAGTAGGTTATGCAGCTGCTTGTCCCACCTCTTGACTAGGATAGCCTTGATTTCCGCCAGGAATGCGGGCTTGTCCTTTGCCAACAGCAGTTCCGTGCGCTTGACAAACATGGCGGCTGTCAATGGAAGTACAAACACGATGAAGGGCGGTAAGCATGGGCAGGAACGGGGTGTGCATGCAATCACGACGACTCCCAAAGGCGTACAGCATGCAAAGGTATGTCTTACCTCCAGCCTGGGCCGCCACATTGGTCTTCACCGTGGCCTCTAGCATGAGGCCATACACTTGCCCCATAACTAGAGCTCGCGTGTCGACGACCCGAAGGACATCATACACGGGCTGCATGATGCGGAGGACTGCCGTTGCGCATTCCCAAAACACCTCATCTAAGAGGAGGTCGCGGACCGCCTTCCCCTCCGGCTGCTTTGCCACCGCAATCTCCTCCCACTCCTCACTTATGACCATCTGCCGCAGCGACTTTTTTACTTCGAGGAATCTGGCGAGCATGATGACGTGCGTGCCAAACCGAGTTGCACCTGGCCGCACCAATGCAAGCTCTTCAAAAACCTCATGGAAGAGAGTGACGGCGGAGGCGCTTGCCTTCACCATCATGACCACGCGGTTCACCTGGCTTATGACCCGCTTCACCGCACGAATCTTGCCGAAATCGTGCAGCATGAGGTCGAGTACGTGAGCGGCGCAGTTGTTGAAGAATATGCCTGGGTATTCGTCGCGCAAAATGTCTGCCGCACGTCGGTTATTAGCCGCATTGTCCATGACGACCTGGACGACCGTCTTGTTCCCCACCTTGACAATGGAGTTGCGGAGGAGTTTGGCAAGATACCCGCCAGTCTTCTTTGCCGTCTTCGAGTCTATCGTTTCCACAATCACCGGTGCCGTGTCGTTGAGGGCGATGACGCAAACAAGCCCTCGAGACTTCAAGCAGGTCCATCCGTCGCACGCCAGGGTGCAGCCGCGATTGAGCCAGCTATCCATCATCGGCTTCGCTAGCTCCTCCGTATCCGCCCGTAATTTCAGCAGAAGCGGGCCTCCAACCTTGTAGGGGGTCGGGAGGGTGTATGGCTTCGCGAAGGCGAGAGCCGCATCAACGAATTCCTGCACCGCCCTAGACTTCGATGACTGGAAGGCCCAGTCGTTCTCCGCTACAGCCGCGGCCCAGAGGTAGTCCAGACGAGTGCGCGCAGCCGTATCCGCCATGTCGCGGATGTCGCGCTGCTTAGCGCGACGAGGGGCATGAATCTCGACCGTAGTAGAGGTGGAAGCTCGGTTCGACCCACCGAATGATGAGCGTGCATGTTCCTCTGCTTCCTCGCGAAGCTTCTTTGCGACATCAGAGCCGCATGGAGTCACGTTCTTATCCTTCTTCGTCTCCGGCGTCCCGTACACATGCTCGCCTATGCGCGTCGCGTTGGCAGTCACGGTTTCACCACAGTGTTTGCATTTCGCAGTGAGATTTCCGTCCTTCGCTGAACCCTCCGTCACAACATGAATCCATAGTGGCGATTTCGGTCGCACCATGGCGTTGGAAGACCTGCTCTAACAGAGAGGTGAGATGATTTGAGAGATGTAGTGCTGATGTGAGTCACTACTGCTCACTTTTAGTACCTTGCTGGGGCGTTGGAGTTTGCCGTGTCGAAAGAATCGCGTGAGAGGGATAAGTTCAGGAAATGCAAGGCGATTGGCTGGCTTGGATGCGCGGCGTGAAGAGCAGGGTTCGTCTTGGATTTGGGCGAAAATTAGCCATTGGGCGCGAGATTTCGAAGCGGGCATAGCGAAACGGGTGACTTACTTTCACCCGTTCGCCAAATATTGAAATCTCGCGACTCGGTCAAACATTCTCGTTGCGTTTCGGCGAAACAAATTTTGCAGTAGCGAAACAGGTAATCCTTGTTTTCGCCATCGTCCATTTATTTCAATGTCGCGACTCGCATGTGACGTGGAATTTGCGACCCTGGGCCAAAATTGACTCTGCCTCGATACATTCGTGCCCAGTCTCACAATGAGAATGTTTGGCGGACAAATTGTGAATCTCAGTATAGTGTATCACGGTTTCAAAAAATCGGTCGTTTAAAACGATCGCATTTTTAATCGAAACAGAAAAACACAAATTAACCGTATTTAACCGTTTAAAACAATCGTTTAATACGATACCGTATAATACGGTAAAAAATCAAAAAAACGGTCGTATTTTTTATCCTTGACTGGTGGACATGGCACGGGATCGATCATCCTGAGCTCACCACCATGGCTTGCCGCGCCATCACGCAGCCGGTGTCCGCGTCTCCATGTGAGCGTAACTGGGCGAAGTTTGATGCAGTGCATACGGCAAGGAGGAACCGCCTCGGCGCGGTGAAGCTTCGTGACCTGGTGTATGTGACGCACAATTGGCAGGTGGTGCACAACTGGAACAAGGCCCCTGAAGGGCTGGGGGTGGTGAAGGGAAACATCGAGGACCCCCCCACTCCGGCTGGCTATAACGTCCCGGAGGAGGTGGAGGAACCTGAGGAGGGGGAGGATGATGTGATGGCAGATGAGTACTAGTGGATGGAAGACTCCATGCATGAGCGGCAGGCGGGGGATGGAGGGTGGACCTGAGTAGAGTAGGGGATGGGGGGGTAGTAGCAGGTGGGTGAAGTTGTAGCGGCAGATTAGTTTTAAGGGTTTTTTTTTCCTGTAACTTTCATATTAATACAAAGGGGATGGGGGTTACAACACCCCCCCATCCCCACCTCTTACCCCAAAAATCTGCCCGGGGAAAACTTTTTTCCTGCCCGGGCAAGCGGATTCTTGTGCGTACCAGACCCCTCAGGGACTGCGGTTTGCGTATATACTCTAGCGTTTATACAGCAAGCGTACAAAACGCTAAACGCGTATATTCCAACTTAGCTGGTGCACTGGGGAGGAAAATGAGTGAGAGAGTGGATGGAGGGAGAGGGAGGGGGAGAGGGAGGTTGGTTGAGGTGTAAAGAGAGAATCAGAGGGAGCAGAAGCAGGTAATTGCTGTCACGGCTTGTGCTCTCTACCTGGAGTTCGTTCACAACTGGTGCGCTGGGGATCAATGGAAAGTGGATAGTGAAAGCGGGAAGGGGAAAGGAAGGGTAGGCTGGCTGTCACGGCTCGTGCTGTCACAACTGGTGCGCTGGGGAGGGGGTTGTGGAAGCGAGGGGCGTATGGAATGAGAGAGTGGACAGCAGAAGAGAGGGGAAAGGGGAGGATAAGAAAGAGAGAGCCAGGGGGGGGAGAAGGAAGGGTGGATGGATGGAGGTTGGTAGTGTTGCCACAGCTCTGCACTCTCACCAGCTCTACTCCTGCTGCTTACCTTCGCCCCATGCTTGTCGTTATGCATCTTCCTCCTCTTCTTTCCCCTTCCCCCAGTTGTACCTGGTATGGCAGGTACCTGTCAGTGTGAGGCAAGCGCATGGGGGGTGGGTCGGTGCTGTTCATAGCGGAAGGAAGGTAGAGAAGGATACCCCCCCTCGCCTCCCTTTCCCCCCCAACCCCCTTCTCCCGGCTCTGGCACGTGCCAGGTACCTGTCAGTGCAGGGCAAGCGCATGGGGGGCGGTTGCTGTTCACATCACAATAGAGGGGTTGAGAAAACGTCTCCTTTCCCCTTTCCCCAACCCCCCCCCACCCCGCCCACCTCCCTTTTGCACCTGGCAGGTACCTGTCAATGCAGGGCAAGCGCATGGGGGGCGGGTGCTGTTCACAGCAGCGGGATTGAGGAAACGTCCCCTCTCCCCCTTCCCGACCCTCCCATCCCCCTCACCTCCCCTTTGCACCCGGCAGGTACCTGTCGGTTCGGGGAAAGCGCATGGGGCGGCGGGTGCTGTTCATTGCTGAGGATTACCACTCCTTCCGCCTGCTCAACCGCCAGTTCCCCATGCAGACCGCTCTCATCGTGACACCCAAGGGCGACCAGGTGGGTTGAGTAGTTGTGCGGCCCACACACACATAGCTCACACATGAAGCACACACGTACAGCTGCAAGGACTACCACTCCTTCCGTCTGCTGCACTGCCGGTTCCTCATGCAGGCCGCTCTCATTCTCACGCCCAAGTGTATGAAGAAGTGTTTTGAGACGCCTCAAAACGCTCTTATTCTCACGCCCAAGGGCGACCAGGTGGGTGTGAATCGTGATGAGAACGCACTTTGAGAGTCTGAGATGTCTCAACTTCTTATTAATCATTACTCTCGATACGAGCGCCACACGTTTTCGAGAATAATGAAAGCAGCCAGTTGATTGGGCCATGGCTCCCCAATATTATGGTTTTAGTTTTGAGTCGACTCAAAACTTGGGCCATGGCTCCCTAAAACCATAATGTTGGCCATGTTTTTAGGGTCGATGCACTTTCCAGAGCGACACATGTCAATCATGTCATGTCAGTTCACTTTGCATGTCTCTCTGCCCGATCTTTGAGGCGCCTTGAAAAGGGTCGATGCACTTTCCAGAGCGACACATGTCAATCAAGTCAGTGCGATAATAAGAGAAATAAATGCTTATAAACCCAGATGTTATAAAAATATTAAATTGATTATTCTCTGCCCGTGCCTCGGTGCTGCAGACAGCAGGCATTGAGGACCGGCGCCCATGGCACTTCCTTCGCCTTCTCCAACACAATGTCTCCTTCCTCTACAATGTAAGCCCCGCCTCGCCCTGCCCCGCCCTGCTGTACAATGTGATGAGCCCTGCCCACTTTTGAGACGTCTCAAAACTCATTTCCGTCTCCTTGAGACGTCTCAAAACATCACTTTTGAGACGTCTAAAAAAATCCAACAATGTCTCCTTCCTCTCAATGTAAGCCCTGCCCTGCCCTGCCCTGCCCTGCCCTGCCCTGTCATCTGCTTGACCACTTACCACCTCCCTCCCCCCTCCTCCCCCCAAACACATCAGGACCCAGACATGGTGTGGCTGCAGCTGCTCTTTGGGTACTTCAACGGCGACTTCGACCTCTGGGCCGCCTCTTCCGCCGCCCTCCCTCCCCCCACTTCTCCCCCCCTCTCCCTCCTCCCCATACATCAGGATCCAGACATGGTGCGGCTGCAGCTGCCCTTTGGGTACTTCAATGACGACTATGACCTCTGGGCCGCCTCTTCCGCCCCCACCTTTGACACCAATGCTTAAACCCCGCACCCCTCTCCCCATCCCCTTCCTGCTCACATCATCAGGATCCGGACATGGTGTGGCTGCAGCTGCCCTTTGGGTACTTCAACGGTGATTTCGACCTCTGGACAGCCTCTTCCGCCCCGACCTTTGATGCGCCTCAGCAGCCCACCGACGATGCCGCCCCCACCACCACCAACCACCACCTCCTCCGCCCCACACCTCTCCCACCCAACCAACCGCTCTCCACCGCTCTGCTCTACTTCCGCGCGTCCCCAGGCGCCAGGGCTGCGGTGCAGGCGTGGCAGGCAGAGCTTAAGTTTATTGTCATGAAGACGAGAAAGTTGGGTGTGCCGATGAACCAGAGCGAGGGCGCGTTCAATCGCGCGGTTCGAGGGGTCGGGAGTGCTGCTAGGGTCGCGCTGCTGCCGCAGCTGCTGTTCCCGTCGACGGCCCTGTATTTCAGGTGGGTCGGTCAGAGAGGGCATGCTGCCGGGCCTGTTTTTCTATGCTAAAAAATCGCTGCTGCAGCTGCTGATCCCGTCGACAGAGCTGTATTTCAGGTGGGTCGGAGAGTGCTGAAACGGCTTAAAACTGCAAATGACTTTAGAGACGTCTCAAAGGTCTTCTTTACTTTAGTTGAGTCGGAAAGTAATGAAAAATCTCAATACTGCAGGTCCGCCAGAGAGTGCTTGCTGCTGTCTGGTATGTTTGGGTTGAGGAGGTGCGAGAAAATGTGGTGAGGGATGTGGCTGGGAGGTGTGGCTGGGAGGTGTGGCTGGGAGGTGTGGCTGGGAGGTGTGGCTGGGAGGTGTGGCTGGGAGGTGCGGCTGGGAGGTGCGGCTGGGAGGTGCGGCTGGGAGGTGCGGCTGGGAGGTGTGGCTGGGAGGTGTGGCTGGGAGGTGTGGCTGGGAGGTGCGGCTGGGAGGTGCGGCTGGGAGGTGCGGCTGGGAGGTGCGGCTGGGAGGTGCGGCTGGGAGGTGTGGGTGGGAGGTGTGGCTGGGAGGTGTGGCTGGGAGGTGTGGCTGGGAGGTGTGGCTGGGAGGTGTGGCTGGGAGGTGTGGCTGGGAGGTGTGGCTGGGAGGTGTGGCTGGGAGGTGTGGCTGGGAGGTGCGGCTGGGAGGTGCGGCTGGGAGGTGCGGCTGGGAGGTGTGGCTGGGAGGTGTGGCTGGGAGGTGTGGCTGGGAGGTGTGGCTGGGAGGTGCGGCTGGGAGGTGCGGCTGGGAGGTGCGGCTGGGAGGTGCGGCTGGGAGGTGTGGCTGGGAGGTGTGGCTGGGAGGTGTGGCTGGGAGGTGTGGCTGGGTGGTGTGGCTGGGAGGTGTGGCTGGGAGGTGTGGCTGGGAGGTGTGGCTGGGAGGTGTGGCTGGGAGGTGTGGCTGGGAGGTGTGGCTGGGAGGTGTGGCTGGGAGGTGTGGCTGGGAGGTGTGGCTGGGAGGTGTGGCTGGGAGGTGTGGCTGGGAGGTGTGGCTGGGAGGTGTGGCTGGGAGGTGTGGCTGGGAGGTGTGGCTGGGAGGTGTGGCTGGGAGGTGTGACTGGGAGGTGTGGCAGTGGTTCCTGTGGTGGTTCCTTGTGCTGTTGGCGCTCTTCCCATTTGCTTTGCAATTTTAACCTCTCAATAAGGTAGCCTGTTCCTTCACTCATCCCGCCTCCTCCTGTCAACCCTTTCCATTTTCTCCATCTCTTGCTCTCCAACCAATCCTGTGGTTTCGTCGCAGCGATCCCGCGTTTCGTTCGGATTTGGAAGCCAAGTCAATAAGACCAGTGGTGCTACACAGCAGTGCAATCGAGAACAGGCTTGAAAAGAAGAGCCTTCTAAAGAGTCATGGCCTCTGGGTGCTCTCGGATAAATGGCAGCCATTTGCCATGGGAAGCTCCCAGAACTTTGGAGGATGAGGCACATAATTTATGTGACCGAGACCAAATACATGGGAGGTTGTACTGTATTGTAATCGTTGACATAATTATTGGCTAGTGTACCAGTACTTTCCGTTCCATGGGAAACTGTTTGCTGTTGTGATTGATCATAGCGAGTTTTGAAAGGAGAGCCTCGCATCGCAGCGCGCGTTCTCTCTAGAAGCTTCTTCTCACTTCGTCGTTTTGCCCGCCACGCCATTCGCTCTGGCGACACAGCCCAACCTCATACACATTACTTCCCTCTCCCCTCCCTCCTTCCCCATTGTTCACTGGCACTTCACGTAAAACTCGTTGAGGCTCAGTTTTGTTCGGTAGTTTTTCGTTTAGAGCAGCCATAGCGTCGCGGGTTTAAAGGGCAGAACCCGAATTGCTCAACGGAAGTCAACGCTGGAAAATAGGTTTGGGAAAGCAGCGAAAATAGGTTCGGAAACCTCCCCTAAACCCTGCTATCCCGAAACCAGCAGGAGTGCTTCACAAACTGGACCCAGTTTGTGAAGGCTTCTTTGTAATTCGGGGGCTGGGCTTTAAGTGGGTATTGTTCCCTAGAAGCTCGATCGTGACGTCGTGTCGACCAATCGGGTTGCGAGTTGCCAGCGTCGCACGACGATAGCCAATTATGACCACCAGCGCGTTAGCCGGGATTTTTGCGGAGGCTACGTTGACGGTCGACGTGGCAAAGAAGCACGTCCGCGAAGCGGCCAACGTGGCTGTTGCTGACGCTGAAAGGGTCCCGCACGTGTTGCGGCGAGCAGCTGACGTGGATGCGGACGACCCTGCCACGTGGCGCGAGCTCACGCTTCCGTCGCGAGGGCTTTCCAGGGTGAGATAAACAGGAGGCGCACTGTCCTTACAACGAGGGGATAGGATGGGCGCAAGGCAAGCGCAATGCGAGGCAATCGAGGTGACATTCTAATCGACTTAAAATTCTTCAAGCAAAAACCGCAAGGGAAGGAAAACGAAAGGCACGCGTAACGCGACCCTGTATCATGAGATCGAAAACCCCTGAACCCTGTTAAACCCCTGAACCCTGTTTAACCCTTCAACCCTGTCAACCCCTGAACCCTGTCAAACCCTTGAACCCTGTCAAACCCCTCTTATACCTTCTTCACACCCCTCTTGGATCATGTGAAAGTGAAAGGTGCCGTATCATCGTAACAGAAGCGCTTTAGCTGTCATTTCCCTTTCTAGTTCGCAACTTCAACTGTGTCTTTTCCCATTTCTCTCCTCTCGACGCTGCCTCCCCTCCACAATTCCCCCGAATTTCCCTCCGCCCTGCCGTCCTCAATCGATCCCCACTGCCAGGTGGACAGCCTCGCATCCTGCTCTGATTCTCCCCGCCTCCTCTTCTCTCCGCTTCCCCTGAACCTTTACCGCCCTGCCGTCCTCAATCGATCCCCACTGCCAGGTGGACAGCCTCGCGGCCTGCTCTCAGTTGACTCGCCTTGACTTGAGCGGAAACAACTTGACTTCGCTTGAGGTGAGCCGGGGATGAAGGAGCGGGGAGGGAAGGGAGGAGGGAAGGAAGTGGGGTAGGGGGAAAGGGAGGGGTGGTGTGGGCTGTTCCTAGTTGACTCGCCTTGACTTGAGCGGAAACAACTTGACTTCGCTTGAGGTGAGCCGGGGATGAAGGAGGGGGGAGGGAAGGGGAGGAGGGAAGGAAGTGGGGTAGGGGGGGGGAGGGAAGGGGAGGAAGGGGGGAAGTGGGGGAGGGGGAAAGGGAGGGGTGGTGTGGGCTGTTCCTAGTTGACTCGCCTAGACTAGAGCGGAAACAACTTGACTTTGCTGGAGGTGAGCGAGCGCATGTGGCTGCAATCTATTCTTGCCCAACCCTGAGGGGCGAATGAACTCTATTTTGAAATACATCCTTCTCAATTAGCGATGTTTGCTGGTGGTGAGCGCATGTGGCGGCAACCTATTCGATGTTTTGAAAGACATCCTTCTCAATTAGCGATGTTTGCTTGCCCAACCCTAACCCTAAACCCAACAGTAAACCCGCTTCACCCAAAACCCCGGAATTTAAACCCCCAGCTTGCACTCGCCCCTCAGAGCCTCTCATCCTGCATCTCTCTGCACTAGTTGAACTATAGATTATCTCCTGGCTCTGCACTAGTTGAAGTATAGATTATCTCCTGGCTCGGCACTGTTTGGACACCGCCAGCAGCATCGAGTTAGGAGATGTTTCAACCACACACCCACCCCCCTCTCCTCCCTCTCCCCCCTCTCAACCCTCTCCCCCCTCTCCCCCCTCTCCCCCCTCTCCCCCCTCTCTCCCCTCTCTCCCCCCTCTCCCCCCTCTCTCCCCTCTCTCCCCCCTCTCCCCCCTCTCCCCCCTCTCTCCCCAACCCCTGCCCTCATCCCTCAGGGTCTCGCGTCCTGCGTGTCTCTGCGCTGGCTGGACATTGCTAGCAACAGCGTCTCCTCGCTTCAGCCGCTCACGTCCCTCACAGCCCTCCTGGTAGGTGTTGCCGTCAGTTCCGCATCCATCCAATAATTGACAACGTTTTTTTAATCGAATTCTAAAGATAGTCCGGTCAATGAATTAATCCCAATCTACCAACTCAAATTCATGAGTCGACTCAAAAGTCAATTCATGAGCTCGTCGTTCGTCATTCGTCGTTCTTCCCGAGTTACCATCCCGAGTTACTGCAGTGTTCTTCTTACCCGTGCCCGTTCGTCTATTAACTTCTGTCAACTCGTTCCCTCTTCAGCAGGTCCTCAGCAGGGCCAGTCACAACATGGTGCCTTACGTCTCTCTTCCCCCCTCCCACTCTCCCCTCCCGCTTGCAGGTCCTAAAAGCAAGCCACAACATGGTGGCAGACGTCTCTCCTGTCACCCGCCTGGCGAAGCTGCAGGCGCTCATTCTCAACAGTGAGCAAGCACACTCTCTTGCTGACTCAGATTTCGCTCTTGCGCGCCAACCTTGCTGGAGCGCAGTGAATGGTGTGAATGCTCATTCTCCCGAAAGACTTGTTGCACTCAATGAGTTCTGTTGTTGTTTCTCCTGGGAGGAACGGGAGGACTTGTTGCCCCACCATCCTCCCGTTCCTCCTCCACCCCCACACTTTCCCTTCCCCTTCTTGCCCCAACTCATCCCTTCCCTCCTCTCCCCACTTCCGCACCTCCTCCCCACTCTCCCATCCCTCCCCCACCCTCTCCTCTCCTCCTCTCCTCTCTCCCCCCTTCCTCCCCCCTCTCTCACCCCTCCTCCCCCCTCTCTCCCCCATCCTCCCCCCTCTCCCCCCCCTTCCTCCCTTCCCCTCCCCACTCTCCAGATAACCTGCGCGTCTCCCTGCGCAATCTAGCTCCTCTTGTTCTCTCTCTGTCCTCATTGTTCTTCCCTCCCCCTCTCCCGCCCTTCCGCCTGCCTCGCCTCCCCCCTCTCTTCCACCAGACAACCTGCTAGGCTCGCTCTGCAATCTAGCTCCTCTCACTGCCCTCAACACGCTGGGTGAGTTCCACCAACCCAACGTTTTACCCACTTAAAGGAGGGGTTTGAACTGACGGTACACCTCGTAGTACTTTCTTCCAGTGCATCACGTTGCTCGTTGTAATTCAGCACGTGTATCACGTTGCTCGTTGTAATTCAGCACGTGTATCACGTTGCTCGTTGTAATTCAGCACGTGTATCACGTTGCTCGTTGTAATTCAGCACGTGTATCACGTTGCTCGTTGTAATTCAGCACGTGTATCACGTTGCTCGTTGTAATTCAGCACGTGTATCACGTTGCTCGTTGTAATTCAGCACGTGTATCCTGTTTGTTTGTTTATCTCTTGCTCTCATGCGTATGCTCCATGTGTATTTTGAGGTGACCTTTGAGTCGACCCAAAAGTCATATTTTGTTATCATACTTGTTCCTTTGAGTCATACTTGTTATCATGCGTATGCTCCATGTGTATCTTATATCAGCATCGTTATTGCTGTCCTCCTACTCCTCCTCCTCCTCCTCCTCCCTCCTCCTCCTCCTCCTCCTCCTCCTCCTCCTCCTCCTCCTCCTCCTCCTCCTCCTCCTCCTCCTCCTCCTCCTCCTCCTCCTCCCCCCCCGCCCCTACTACTCCCCCTCTTCAACTCCCGCCACTACCTCTTTTCTGACGAGCCCCCTGCACTTCTAACCCCGTGCACTCATTCTCAACCCTTTCAACCCCTTTCAACCTCTCACATGCAGTGCTTTCCCACAATGAGCTGCCTGCTCTCGGCAACTCCTTGCGTGGCCTCTCTGCCCTCAAGAAGGTACGAGGGCAGTTCAGGTACAAGCCCTTCTTTTACTGGGGTGATCACATCACACAATGTACCCTTTCTTTACTGGGGCGATCAGTTGGGGTACCCTGTGCCATCAATCACTACCCGCTCAACCCCTCACGCACAAGAACCCTGTCTTGTACTCTTCATGTTTTCTGATTGTCTGTCTCTTGAACTCGCTCTTTCCAATACTTCGTGTGTTTTGAGTCAACTCTAGAGGTGTATTTTAATTTAAGCTCAATCCATCAATCGCCTCCGATCCGTTTTGAGACGTCTCAAAATAAATCTTCATACACGTGTCAACGTGAGGTGGTGGTGAAAGAACATCCATGAGCTACTCTACTGCGACTCTCCTGAAGGCCTGGCGTCACCTCACTGCAGCAGAGTCAACTCTAGAGGTGTATTTTAAGCTCGATCCATCTATCGCCTCCGATCCCCTTCCCTTCCTCCCCTCCCCTTCCTTCCCCTCCACTTCCCTCCACTCCCCCCTCTCCTCCCCTCCCTCCCCTCCCCTGCCCTCCCTTCCCCCTCCCATTCTTCCCTCACACCTCTTCATCCATGCATGCGTGCCATATCTGATCGTACCAAATCTGCCCCCCCTCCTCCATCCACCCCTGCAGCTCTCCCTGTCCAGCAACGGTCTCACATCGCTCACCAACGATCTCAGCGGATGCATGTCACTGGAGGAGCTGCGTCTGGCACACAACCACATCTCGGTGCGTGTGATGCGAATGAACAGCTGTGCCCGTATGCAGTTAACTTTTGCGCCCTGCAGAGTGAAGGTGCGCCCTGCAGAGTGAAGGTGCGCCTTGAAATTGCGGTTTACCAACGATCTCAGCGGGTGCATGTCGCTGGAGGAGCTGCGTCTGGCCCACAACCACATTTTGGTACGTGTGATGCGAATGAACAGTTGTGCCTGCATGCATGTGTTCCTCACGTCGCTCACCAACGACCTCAGCGGATGCATGTCACTGGAGGAGCTGCGTCTGGCCCACAACCACATCTCGGTGTGTATTCATGAGTTTGTAACGTATCTTATATTATAGTGTTTCTTTGTTCTCTCATATGTGAAAACATATGAGGTGACTTTTGAGTCGACTCAAAAGTCAAACTCAAAAGTCAGTCACCTCGTTATATGAGAACCCTGCTGAAAACATATGTGGAAAGTCACCTCGTTATATGTGAAAACATATGAGAACAGGAGCTGTCAAGAGAGGACAGGTGGGTTGGATATGTTCTCCTTCCCCACCTGGCCTGGAGGGTGGGACCGGATGATATGTTCCCCTCCAACTTCCCTTCATCCGGTCCCACCCTCCAGGCCCTCTCCCCTCCCGCCTGGATGAAATACAATTTAGTACATTTCGAAAGAAGCCAGTAACAGCAGTGCTTTCTGCCTTCCTTCCAACCAACCCCCATCTTCCTTTCTTCCCTCCCCCATTCGTTCCATCCCTCCAGGTCCTCTCCCCCGCCCTCTCCTCCCTCACCTCACCTGCCTTAGCATTCCCCATCTCTCCTCCAACTGAATTGCATCGCTCAAGATCCTTTTCCCTCATGAAATCCTATCAAAGCAGTTTTAGATATTCCTTTTCTTTCTTTCTTCCGTCCCCTTTCTCATCCCATCCTATTCCCCCAGGCCCTCTCTCCAGCTCCTTCCTCCCTCACCCGCGTCCGCACCCTTGATCTCTCTTCCTACCGGATTACCACCCCACTCAAGCTCCTCTCCCTCTCCTGTGCCTTTTTCCTTCCTTCCTCCATTCGCCCTATCCCAACAGGTCCTCTCCCCCGCCCTCTCCTCCCTCACACGCCTCCGCATCCTCGATCTCTCCTCCAACCGAATCCCCTCCCTCAAGCTCCTCTCCCTCGCCACGCTCGCTGCCTTCCCCCGCCTCTCCTCCCTCTCTGTCCGCGGCAACCCTCTGCTAGGGGACAATCCTTCCAAGGTTGAAGCCCAGGTGAGACCAAAGCCCAGGTGAGACCAAAGCGCAGGTAAGACCAAAGCGCAGGTGAGACCAAAGCCCAGGTGAGACCAAAGCCCAGGTGAGACCAAAGCGCAGGTGAGACCAAAGCCCAGGTGAGACCAAAGCCCAGGTGGGTTTTGAAACATTACAGAACGCAAGTGAGAACAAGTTGCGTCTTCCCCCCACTCCCTCGTACCTTCCTCAATCATCTCTTGCGTCTCAACTTTGGATTCTCAAGCACGTGCCCCCAGCCTTGCTTACGACTGTTGGGGGTTGTTGAGTCGACTCAATGTTTCCCTACTGCTTCCCTCTCTGTCCCCCCAACTTTTCACCCCCCTCCCCCCCCGCCGCACTCACCCACACCAGATTCTCACGCACCTGCCTCGCTTGCGACTGTTAGATTCGCGAAAGGTGGGGAAGGGAGGAGGGAGGGGGCGAGAGGCAGAGGGGGCTGGGCAGGAGTGTGAGGTTCTGGGTGATAGCAGCGGAGATGCTACTATGGAGGATGAGGAGGCGAAGGAAACGAAGGGAGAGGCGGGGAAAGGGAAGAAGAATGGGCAGAAGAAGAAGCAGGGGAGTGAACAGGGGGAGGAAGAGGGGCAGAAGCAGGAGGAAGGGGGAAAGGAGGGGAAGCAGGAGAGGGAGAAGACTGCAGAGGTGGTTAAGGAGAAAGGAGAAGAGACTCACAGTGCTGCTGCTGGTGCTCGTGCTGTTGCTGGTGCTGCTGGTGATGCTGCAGCGGAGGCGGCGGGGAAGAGCGCGAGGAGAGACAAGGCCAGGGCGGAAGTGGAGGCGAAGGTGATGCATGGGAGTGAACTGCTGCTGCCTGTGATGGTGGACAGGAAGGGAGGGAAGAGGGAGGTGAAGGGGGGAAATGAGGGAAAGGAAGGGGAAGCGAAGAGAGAAGGGAAGAAAGGAGGGGATGGGAAATGGGAGGTTGCGAAGGGGGTGAAGAGAAAGTCAGAAGTGGTGGTGGGGAGTGGGGTGGGGAAAGTGGAGGAGGACGGTGTGTGGATGGCAGAAGGCAGGGCAGGGTTGCCAGAGATTAAGGCAGGGAATGTCAGGGTAACAGAGAAGGTGAAGGGAATGGAGAAGATGGGGAAGAAAGGAGGCATAGCGAAGGCGTTGAAGAGTGAGTGGATTGACACGATTGGGGAGGGAGGAGAGTCAGCTTGGGACTGATTGGGCTTGTTTGCGATGTCCGTGCATGTTCAACGGATGACAGATTTATCTTGCAGGTTGAGTTTACAAGCGCCTCAAAAAATTAAAGCTGTAAGAGGTTGCTTGTGAGAGGTTAGGATTGTTGTCATCGAGCGATTGAAGGGAGTAGTTAGGCCAAGTGGTTCAAGGAATAGCCCTTCTCTAGTTCGACAGATTTAATCACCTTTTGTGTAACCAGGGCCTCAGATTCACTTTTAGGGTCGTCGACCCATCAGGGTACCCTTGTGTATAAACCCTGATTGACAGTGTTTCTAAAAAAAAAAACCTGAAATATCAGGGTTCCCTTTGAAAAAAGGCTGATGTATCAGTGTTCAAAAATATAAAAGGTTGTTAATTACTAGAAACCTCTACTTCAAATACTAAGTCAGTAGCAGCCGTGTTATCATCACTGCCTTTGGCTTCTCTCCTCTCCTCAGCTTGGGACACCAGTACGTGACAGTGCTCTGCCGCAGCACACACATACACGTTGAAGCTGCAGGGGCAGGGTGTGGAGGAGGAACCGGATTGACAGGCAGGGTGAGGCAGGGAAAGAGAGAACAGGAGGGAGAGAGGGGGGAAGATTGGCACAGTTGGGGGGGAGACGACTGGGGGAGAGATGGAGTGCACGGAGTGCGGGGCAAAGGGAGCAGAGGAATGGACGGCGGGCGCGCGGGTCATGCGCGGATCATGTCGTCGCGCAGCACGACGATCTGCGCACCGCACGCGGTGCAGATGGCCTTTTCAACCGCGGTTCGTGCTGGCGACGAGGCAGCCTTCGGTTGCCGCCATTAGCACGAAAAACTACGCGTCGTCGAGTCGTAGCGGGCCTGCGACGCCGACGGGAATTGCCACGTGGTCTACGACCATCTAGCAGAATGCACTGCGGATCGCGTCGAACGAGAGCGATGTGTTCGGTGAGACAAGAGGAGATTCGGCGGCGCTTGCGATGGCTTCGATTCCCGACAGCCCGCCCTTTCTGGTGCTGATGGCGCCATGAATTAGTGCAGACGAGAAAGCAAGAGAGGAATCGGGCTGAGAGGGAGAGGGAGAGAAACAGGAGGAAAAGAAACAAGAGATTGGGTTGGAGGGAATGGGAGCATCAGTGCTTGCTGGTGCAGGAACCCTCGCAGCCCTCCAGCACAACATGGTTGCCACATCCTGATTAGCTATCACTTCATGCTACAGCGTTACTGCCCAATGAAGTGCTGGCACTGCAGGAATATGAGATTCCCTGTTTTGCGGGCAAATGCACACGGAACAAGTAAGAATTGCTTTCAGTGTTAGTTTCGTTACAACGCCGTAGAATCAGTGTACTTGGGAAACGAAAGTCTGAAATTTCAGTGTAGCCTAACAAAAAAGGCTGAAAGATCAGTCCCACAAAAATCTCAACGCTGATTTTTCAGTGTAGGTAAAAAAAGGGCTGCCAAAATCAGGAATTTCAGGGTTTTTTTCCTGATATCTGAGGCCCTGTGTGTAACTATCTGCTTGTTCCACCATCTGGATTGAGGGTAGTTTATTTTCACCAGAGACGATGTTTTTCTTTGGTTCACCTAGTACTTCATTAATAACAAGGCTTCATTCATGCTCATTGGAAAAGCTTGACACTTGGAGCCTTTACCATGTACCCTCTGTTTTGTATTTGCATGTGCAAATATCGGAAGTACCTACAAAGCAGACGAAAATGTTGGAAACAGAACCATGATTGCGGAACCCTAGCTGCTCAGAAGCGTAATTCCCTAGAACCTTGGTTGCGAGAGTGGCGATAGATTCGTGAAGTCAGGTCAGGACAGAGCAGAGACCAGTGTCCACCGCAGTCGCGTTCGCCCGCCGCTGTGAAGCGGCGATTTCAGTGTTTAACGAATCACAATGACGGAACCGAACGGAGACATTCTCGAGCAGCCTCGAGCTCATCTCACGGCATCAAGTCCGTCCAGTTTCACCCGTCATTCAGTCAACCACAAGGAGAACCCCCTTATTTTGTGCACGAGCCGCTTCCTATTCCACTGGCAGCGGGCGATCACGCAACCCGTATATTTTTGGGCAGCTACAGTTGAGCCTGCTGCCCAGAAATTCCGTGAATTTAGATGAACGAGCCACAATGTTGTCAATCGAGAGTGTCGGACTTCGAGGCTTGGCTTGAAGGACAAGACTCAGACTACTCTTGTTGGCGGGCCATTTGCCGGGCTTCGAGGTTCGGCTGGGAGCAGCAACCTCGACCTCCTATTGGCTGGCCAAAACATCCGTGGTTCGGCTCCTAATACAGAGCAAAACCAGAGCACTTTTCGGGGTGTTCTTTTCTTTTGCCTTTCTTCGCCGTTCGGGCAGCATGCTTGCTTCCTCCGGAGCCTCGAGAGTTGCTTGTTCGCCAGTCGAGCTGCATCCACTCTTCCCTCCGCCTGGGAACCTCCTCCTTTCCCAAACAATACAAAGCTTCTCTTCATTCCCACCACAACATCAGTTGCGAATTCCTTATTCCTTCAACTCTCAGACTCAGCTTCTAGCTCCTCAGGAACTTCGATAAGCTTCAGTTTGTAGCTTCGGCTCTCGTTTCGCCTGTGCTCTTAGCCTCTCGCTCTGAGTGCGATGGCATCTCTGACCACCTCGTCTCTTGTAGGATCCGCGAGCTGTTCTGCGGTGTGCGGCATCAGCAGCAGCTTCAGCCGCCGCGCTAACGTCCTGAAGATGTGGCGGCGCGCGATTGCATGGCGCGTGGGGCGCTTCAGCGAGAAAGAGCAGTGCGCTCTGCGCTCCCCCCGTGCGTCGCTCGGCTTCTCCCCTCTGCGACCCAAGCCCGTGGCTAAGCCGCCCAGCAAGAAGCCCAGGCCCAGGGATGTGATGGGTACCGCTGCTGCTGTGAAGCCCAGAGCGGTGCACAGCGGTCAAGCGACCGTCGCAGCTGCAACAGCCAAAGCCACGCCAGCCAAGGCGACGGAAGCTAAGCCGACGTCAGTTAAGGCGACGCCAGCCAAGGCGACGCCGGCTAAGGCAACGGAAGCTAAGGTGACGTCAGCTAAGGTGCCGTCAGCTAAGGCCACGCCAGCTAAAGCCACGCCAGCTAAGGCGACGCCAGCTAAGGCGACGCCAGCCAAGGCGACGCCAGCCAAGGCGACGCCAGCCAAGGCGACGACAGCTAAGGTGACGCCAGCTAAGGCGACGCCAGCTAAGGTGACGCCAGCGAAGGCGACACTTGCAAGCCCTACTGCCGCGGTAGGTACGAAGGCTGCAGGTGCAAGCAGCCGAGCAGCAGCACCAGCAGCTGCAGCAGCCGCACCAGCCGCAGCAGCTCCCCACAGCCCGAAGGCGGGTCTTGTTGGCGGGTCTGGAATCCCCAGACCTGCAGGCAGTGCAGCAACAAGGAGGGCCGCAGCAGGAGCGACTGCGAGTGGCATTCCCAAGCCAGGGAATGTAGCAGCCAAGTAAAAAATAAATTAAAATGGAAAAAAAAAAAACGCAGCAGCAGCAGAATTAAATGGGATCCTGGGGTATAATAAATGGGGATGTGAAGGGACGAGTGTGGTGGGTGAGATGGCATGGCTGGTGGGGGCTAGAGGGGTGCATGGAGGGACTTACCCCTTTTTCCACCCTGCTTGCAGGATGTTGTGGGAGAGATGGGTGGAGAGGTGGAGGAATGTGGTGAGCTGGAATGGGGAGGCATGGCATGAAGGGGAAAAGCATGCCCTTGGATCCGCTGCTGATGTGCCTGAATGCTCATGCTGACTGTGTTCTGTTGAATCTGTTGCTGATCACCTGCCTGGTTCTTGAATGCCCTTGTATCCGCTGCTGCACTGTGCACTTTCTTTGCTCTTGAAAAGAAGAATGATTTTGATTGTCATAGATTCGGTTCTAGGTCTATAGCTTGTAGTCGTTGATGCTATATTTATATATATGCTGTTGATGTTCTCTCTGTGTTCTTGTTGCGACTAAGTGGTGCATGAAAGGGAGGAATGGCTGGAGGATGTATTCACGTGGTGAGGGTTGAAACAGTGGGGGGTGATTTGATGGTGCTGTCACTGACGGTCTGATTTCAAGGGAAATGCTCGTGCTGACTGTTGTCATCACTTCACCCCATTTTGATCCCTTTCCTTCCCTCTGCATCCCCTCCTCGTACCCCCTGCTTGGAATGATTTCATCAACGTGTCTCCTCTGCACTTATCATTAACTTCATGGTTGAGTGTTCTTGAACAATCTACCCACAATCCCTCTTGCCCCATCCTTTCCTGACATCTCTTGTCTGACTGTATTGCCACCACCTGGTGCCATTCCATCCATCCCTACCTCCCTCTGTCCTTGCATTTCTTTGGAATCTGAACAAAACTTATGCATAGACCAACCCTGGGTTTCGTTTCTTCGTTTCGTACCATCATGTGCTGCTTGGTGAGCGTTTCATTCCAGTCTCATCACCTCCTGTTGTCATCGGGCTTTAAATTTGTCGTCAGAGTCTTATCAGCTCGATATGTTTTCACCATTCCTTATCAGCTCGTGATGCTTTCACCCTTTTTGCCTAATTTCTTTCGCTGTCTTATTCAGATATCATCAGCTCATCATTCTCGCAATATCTCATGCCATACACAACAGCTCTTGATGCTTTTAGTGTTTTTAGCTAGTCTCATTTGATGAGCTCATGGCATCCTGCGGTCCCTCTCTCCAAATTTCTTGGTTCCCTGCCGCCACCTCCCTCACCTCTCTGAAACTTCAACAGTAGTAATCGTTGAAGGAATCAATGAATATTGTATTATGTTTCCGTACTTGCATTTTTCTGTTCTTCTCTTTTCTTTTAGCATGCCAGTTTCACCAGCTCCTGATGCTTTCACGATTTTATGAAAATCCATGATCAGGTCATGCCATGTCATGATGCTTTAAGATTCTCATGCATTTCTTCTCAGCTCATCAATTCTTTACCCTAAATGGCATGTCCCCTTCACTGGCTCATCATCCGCTCCTTAGCTCCTTCCTGAGCCTCATGCCATTCACATCAGCTCAAGATGCTTTCAGTGGCTCGTGCTCGTTTGGTCTCAGCATGATGCGTGGTCTCAGCATGTGAGGGAGTGGTGCGTGGGAGGGAGGGACGGCCGGTGGCATGCCTTTGGCCAGAGGAAGGGTGAAGAAGGGGAAAGCAGTTCAGCAGAAGTGTGGAGAATTCTCATGCTCACTTGCTTCTCGTGGAGCCCTTCAAGTGCTGGTAATGAATCTCATCGCTGATGCCTTCTCGTTGACGACTTCTATTTTTATTGCCTAGAGCTTCAAGAGATTTTAGTGCTGCTTAGAAAAGCCTTTTTAGTCCGTACTGCCCTGTCGGGTCGGTGTTCGTAGTTTCGATGCCTCTCTCTCTGCCCTCTTCAAGTTTCAACACTCTTTCCACTCAGTGTTCACAACTTCCCTCCTTCCTTCCCGCTCAACTTCCTTTCCTTTCACTACCTATCAAGCTTCACCACTCTTCACCCCCTCATGATGGTCGATGTTCAAAATCCCCTCTTGAGGTCTAACAGCACTGATTTGAGAAAATTCAGGAGCTTGCCTGATTATCCAAGTGTCTCCCAATTCCCATCCCCTGCTTGCTTCCTCATACTTCTTCCCTAAGCATCTGACGATTGGCCATCAGTGATGCTTTAAGATTTTTTTTTTAGTCTGTGTTGCCTTTCCAGACATGAGCTGCTGATATATTCCAATCAGTTCAATCAGCTCTGGTTTCAGTATATATTCCAAGTTCACCTGCTCATGATGCTTGCAGCATTTCATGGCAACTTTGCCAGCTGATGACGCATTCACTATCGCATTCTCTTTCAGCACCCCATGGCAGTCTCTGCAGCTGATGATGCCATCAGTATTGCATTGCGGTTCCATCAGCTCATGACTGTATCCTGACATTTACATTTGCTCTTCATGAGTCCAGCAACTCATGCCAAATTCATCAGTTCATGATGCTTGCTGGTTTCAGGATATCTGCCAACCAAGCTGACCTGCTCATGATCCTTACTGCATCTCGTGGCGAATTCTTCAGCAAAGAGTGCTATGACCACATGATGCCAACTTTATTGGCACATTCTGCTGTCAATCCTGCAGGAATCCCAGTTATTTAATCACAATTGACAACAACCGGATCATCATGAAGTATTTCACTTCTCTATTGAGAGATTGTGTTCCCACAACGTTTCTATATTGTAGAGCTTCACTGAAAACTAGAAACTGACCAGAAAACTAGTATTAATCTAAACAGTTGCAAGTTTTCAAGTTCATGTGAATCTTACAGTTGTGTTACGGTTAACAAATCTGCAAATATCGAATTGCTAGTTTACCCTTCATCCTCAACATCCTCGATAGCCTGGTTTGGGATGACAGACCGAACCCTAGTTCCTCGGGAGCGGCTTACTACAAGCATGCGTGCGAGGCGCGTTTCCTAACAGCGCAATGCCTTCAGTCTCCTTTTGACGCATTACAAGCTCCGTCTCAGTCGCGTTTGCCCCCCGCCGCTATGCAGCAACATTTCCACTCTATTACCGATGACGGAACAGAATCATTCGTTGAGCAGCCTTGGGTTTTGTTTCACACTGGCAAGTCCGTCAAGTTCACCCATCATCCAGTCAACGCACCAGCAGACCCCTTCTTTTCGTGGACGAACCGCTTCATGTTGCTTGGGCAGCCTGCGAGCTTAACGGAAAATGTGACCCATATATTTTTGGGCAGCTGCAGCTGAGCCTGCTGCCCAGAAACTCCGTGAATGTAGATTACCGAGCCGCAATACTGTCAACCGACAGCGCCAGGCTTCGTGGTTCGACTTGGGGCCAAAGACTCGGCCTTCTCCAATTGGCTGACCAGATGCCGAGCTTCAAGGTTCGGTTTGGAGCAGCGGACTCGGCCTCCTTTTATTGGCAAGCCAAATCTTCCGTGGTTCGGCCCCTAATACAGAGCAGAGCCAGAGCACTTTTCGGAGTGTTTTTTTGTCTTTCTCGATTCGGGCAGCAGGTTTGCTTCCTCCACAGCCTCGAGAGTTGCTTCTCTCTGTAGTCGAGCTCCATCCACTCTTCCCTCCGCCTTGAAACCTCCTCCCTTTCCAAACACTACAAAGCCCACCCGTCCTCTTCATTCCCACCACCACAGCAGTTGCAATTTCCTTACTCCTTCAACTCTCAGATTCAGCTAGTAGCTTCTCGGAACTTCGATCAGCTTTCAGCTCCTAGGTTCGCCTCTCGTTCCGCCTGTGCTCTTGGCCTCTCGCTCCTGCGATGGCATCTCAGATCACCCCGTCTCCCGTTGGATCCGCTGCGGTGTGCGGCATCAGCAGCAGCTTCAACAGCACGCGCCGCGGTTCTAACGTCTTGAAGATGTGGCGGCGAGCGATTGCATGGCGGGTGGGGCGCTTCAGCGAGAAAGAGCTATGCGCTCTGCGCTCCCCCCATGCGTCACTCGGCTTCTCCCCTCTGCGACCCAAGCCCGTGGCTAAGGCGCCCAGCAAGAAGCCCAGGCCCAGGGATGTGATAGGTACCGCTGCTGCTGTGAAGCCCAGAGTGGTGCACAGCGGTCAAGCGACCGTCGCAGCTGCAGCAGTCAAAGCCACGCCAGCTATGGCGACGCCAGCTAAGGTGACATCAGCCAGGGTGACGCCAGCCAGGGTGACGCCAGCTAAGGTGACATCAACCAGGGTGACATCAGCCAAGGCGGCGCGAGCTAAGGTGACGCCAGCTAAGGTGACGCCAGCTAAGGTGACATCAGCCAGGGTGACGCCAGCCAAGGTGACGCCAGCTAAGGTGACATCAACCAGGGTGACATCAGCCAAGGCGACGCCAGCTAAGGTGACGCCAGCTAAGGTGACGCTAGCTAAGGTGACGCCAACTAAGGTGACGCCAGCTAAGGTGACGCTGATTAAGGCGACACTTGCTAAGGCTACGCCAGCTAAGGCGACTCAGGCTAAGGTGGCGCCATCCAAGGCGACGCCAGCCAAGGCAACGCCAGTTAAGGCGACGCCGCCAGCTAAGGTGACGCCAGCGACACCAGCTAAGGCGACACGTGCAAGCCCTACTGCCATAGTAGGTGTGAAGGCTGCAGGTGCAAGCAGCCCAGCAGCAGCAGCCGCAGCAGCAGCTCCTCTCACCATGAAGGCGGGTCTTGTCTGGGTGGAGAAAAACGCGTTTGACGTTTTAAACGCTTGCGTTCAAAAGCAGCGTTTTAAACGCAGAACGCATTTCCAGGATTCCAAAAAAACGCCAAAAAAAAAAAAAAAAAAAAAAACGCAAGCCCGGGCAGGGTAAAAAAAAAAGGTACGGGCAGGCAAAAAAACCTCTCATGGTGCAAGGGAAGGGCGGGAAGAAGCACATAGCATAGATTTGAGGAGATTTTTTCCGACACAAAAAATTCCCCCCCCCAACATAAGGTTCCCATAGTCACGATTAGTTAGTCACTCCAGTCAAGCAATAAGCAAACTAGAGCAAGCTACCACGGTCCACGCCATCTCCTCTAATCTTCGTCCTCCCCGCCCTCCTCCTCCTCGCCCTCCTCCTCCTCCTCGCCATCCTCCTGGTGCGCGTGCTCATCCACACAGATCGCGTCCTCATCCTCCTCCACCTCCCCATCCTCCTCCAGCTTGTAGACCTCGGGGAGGGGGGGAGTGGGAATGTTCCCCTCCACGATCCCCCCCTTCCTTCCCACCCCACTAGGCCCTGCAACAGCCGCTCCCTTGTGATGTTTGTGCACAACTGTCCAGTTGTGTGCAACGTACACAAGGTCCCGGACCTTCTCCGACCCGAGCCTGTTCCTGCGTGTCGTGTGCACGCCGTCCCAAACAGACCAGTTCCGCTCGCACGGGGCGGCGGAAACTGGCTGGGACAGCGCACGACGCGCAAGTCCAGCCAGGTCTGCATACTCCCAGCCGTGATACTGCCACCACGCCAGCACGTCCCCCTTCCCATCCTGCAGCTCCTCACGCCCCAATCTCGCCTCCTCCGATCCGAAGCTCCCAGTGGCGTTGATGTACGCCAACATCCCCTCCTGCAAACTCTTGTGCGGCCCCTTCTTCCCCTTCCAGAACTTGTCGACAAAGACCTTAGAGCCGGCGAGCCACTCCCTCATCACCTTGGTGCACTCGACGTCACGCAGGAAAATCTCCTCCAGCTGGTTGGCCGGATTAAGGATCAGGCCAACCGCGTGAAGGGGGCACGCCAAACTCTCGTCCCAACGGCGCCTCAAGTGCTCCTGCACCTCCACCTTCTCCTCCTCCTTCAGCTTACACATATCACCATCCAGCAGCTTCGCCATGTCCTCCGTCAGCTGCAGCATGATGTCATAGATAGCACCCATCATCCCCTTCGCCTGCGAGTCCGTCCTCCTCATCACCATGAATGGCACCTCCATAATCTGCAAAAAAAACCCCGCTTTCTCCCACCAATCCACATCCATCACCCACGCCTCGAAGTCACACGCCGTTGTCTTCTTCTCCTTCGTCCCCTTCTTCCCCTTCATCTTCTTCCAGCCGTCATGCACCACCATCTGCAGCAGCTGCGAGCGAAGCTGGCAAAGACGAGACACGGCAATGTACTGCGTCCCAAAACGCGTGCCCACCGGTCACAGCGGCTGCAGCGCCTTCCCACCGTGCAGCTCCGGGCTCCGCAAAAAAACGCGCGTCCACACGTGAAGCGTAGAAACGTGATCATGTCGCCCGCTCGGCCGACGACGTCTCGCGCCCACTCCATCTTGCCGATGTCCTCCATCAGCAAGTCGAGCACGTGGGTGGCGCATGGCACATGCTCGATGTGCGGCCACTCCGCCTGCAGCAGCTTGCATGCCGACGCGTAGTTGCTGCCACCGTCCATGCACAGCACGGCGACATTCTCCGGGCCGATCTTCTTTATGATCGGGCGCAAGATGCCGGCCACGAACGCTCCGCTCTTCAGCTCCATTTTGCAGTCAACTGCCTTGACGAAAACAGCACCGGCGTCGTTGAGGAGCAGGATGTTCATCTGCGCGCGCCCGCTCTTGTCCGTCCTCATATCGCTGGCGATCGTCACGCCCGTCTTCGCCCACGTGTCGGTAATCGGCGCCAATCCCTTCTTGATCCTCTTCTTGCACGCCAGGAGTCCGGCGCCGCCGACGTAGTCACGCTTGGGAGGGACGTAGTTGGGGCCGGCGGCGGTGACGGCGCGAAGCATGTTGAGGAAGAGGGGGTTCTCGCACTGCCGTTCCGCCACGCGCATCCCCGCGAAATAGAGGCATATCGCCTCGTCGGCATTCCGCGTGGATGAGAGACCCTCGTCTCCGTAGAAGTCTTCCATGCACCCCCGTTTCGGCTTTGGCCCCGCCGCGCTCTTGCCGCTCACTGAAGAGATCGCCGCCTCTGCCGCCTTCTCCTTGTCCTTGCGCGCTGCAATTTTCCCCTCCATCAACGCGCGAATCTCATCGAAAACGCGCTTGGGTACGTTCTTACAAATCGGGCCAACCTCACGGCGAGTATTGGGGTTGTTTCATATGGCGAGGTGAGAGGTGTCAGAGGTCCACTGGTGATCCCCGATCGATCCTAGGGAAGGGTTACAGGCACATTTGCCTGGGGGGTTATGGGCGCACTGACCCGCTACTGAAACAAGCCCTTTTATCCCAATGGTCTAGTGGTTGGGATTCTGAGATGGTATCCAGAGCGAAGGTCTCGGGTTCGAATCCCGGTGTATGCACTTCGGGCATCCCAGTGCGGGGGGGTGTCAGAGGTCCACTGGTGATCCCCGATCGATCCTAGGGAAGGGTTACAGGCACATTTGCCTGGGGGGTTATGGGCGCACTGACCCGCTACTGAAACAAGCCCTTTTATCCCAATGGTCTAGTGGTTGGGATTCTGAGAAGAGGCGCAACAGACACTAGTAAAGCTAAACGTCTTGCCGCAAAAGTCACATTTCGCTTGCTTAACCTTCTTGTTTGGATTAGTGAAAAAGGTGTAATGCGAATAGACAAGGTGCTTAGACTTATCAGATGTATCCGCATTCTCCTCGTTATCGGCGGCCGTGGTGCTAACGTCAACGACAGGAGGAGGACTACGGTCGGAATCACCGGTGGAATCCCTAGACGTGGAAGCCATAACTTAGAGGGGGAACTTGCTAAACCCACAAGGGTTTTTGAAAGAGAATTTGGGATCTAGAAAGGAGAAGCACAAATGAGTCACTTTCACCTCCTTAACCATTGTGGTGGCTGGCCACAATGGTTGGAGTTTGTAGATGGTGTGCGGAGCAAAGTGTTTGGGTTCAATTTTGAACTCAAACTTGGGAATTTTGGTGTGGGGTAGATTTAGTGGGGCCGATTTGGGTTGGAAGGGGTTTTTTTTTTTACGAAATTGACATTCGCGCTAAAATCGCGAATGTCAATTTCGTAAGCTGGAAAAAAATTCGGGCTGCCCGAAATTTTTTCTCCCATGCGTTCTGCGTTTTCTGGTGCGTTTTGTGTTTTTCTCCACTCAGGGTCTTGTTGGCGGGTCTTGAATCCCCAAACCTGCAAGCAGTGCGGCAACAAGGAGGGTTGCAGCAGGAGCGACTGCGAGTGGCATTCCCAAGCCAAGGAAGGTAGCACCCATGTGAATGACTGAAAAAAAAAAAAAAAAAAAAAACAACAACAACAACAACAACAACAGCATTAGATGAGATTCAGGGGGGTGTACAATGGGGATTTGAAAGAATGACTGTGGTGGGTAAGATGGCATGGCTGGTGGGGGCAAGAGGCAGGTGCATGGAGGGACTTACCCCTTTTTCCACCCTGCTTGCAGGGTGTTGTGGGAGAGATGGGAGGAGAGGCGGAGGAATGTGGTGAGCTGGAATGGGGGTGCATGGCATGAGGGGGAAGAATATGCCTTTGAATTCGTGGCTGCATGGCATGAAATGGCATTCAGTTAGATCCGTTGCTGCACGGCGTGAAATGGCATTCTATTAGATCCGTTGCTGCTCACCTGCCTGGCTCTTGAATTCCCTTGGATTCGCTGCTGCAGCGTCTTGCTAGGCTCTTGCATAGTAGCAAGTTGTAGATTCTCATAGATTATGTTGTAGGTCTGTAGCTTGTAGTCTTTGATGCTTTATTTATGTATATGCTGTTTCTGCACTTTCTGTGCTGGTGTGTTGCGACTGAGTGGTGCATGAAAGTAAGGAATGGTTTTGGTGTGTGTATTCGTGTGGTGAGGGGTGAAGCTGGTGTAAGTGACTTGATGGTGCTGCCATTGGCTGTTTGATTCACGGGAAATGCTTGTGCCGACTGTTGTCATGACTTCACCCCGTTTTGATCCCTTTCTTTCCCTCTGCATCCCCTCCTCTTACCCCCTGCTTCGAATGATCTCATCTCAACGTTTTTCCTCTGCGCTTCTTACTGGAGTCGTGGTTGGGAATTCTGAGCATTCGTTCCATTGTCCCTCGACTTACCCCGTCCCTTCCTGACGTCTCTTGTCTGTCACTTTTGTGCTGCTTGGTGAGTATTTCATTCCAGTTTCATCACGTCCTAATGTCATGAGGCTTTAAGTTTGTCAACAGAGTCTTATCAGCTCCATATGCGTTTACCATTCCTTATCAGCTCCTGATGCTTTCCTATAGCAGACGACGCCGCATTGTTTTTTCTTTTAGCATATGATGCTGCATTGCTTGCACGCCAGTTTCATCACCTCCTGATTATTTCCCGATTTCATGCCAATCCGCTCGCAGATCATGTCACGATGCTTTAAGATTCTCATACGACAGTTCTCAGCTCGTCAACTCCTTTTCCCTGTCATGTCCCTTTCATTAGCTCATCATCCGCTCCTTAGCTCATGAGCCACATGCCATTCATACCAGCTCATCATGCTTTGAGATTCCCATGCGACCATTCTCAGCTCATCATTGCTTTACCCTGTCATGTCCCTTTCATTAGCTCATCATTCGCTCCTTAGCTCATGAGCTGCATGCCATTCACATCAGCTCATGATGCTCTCAGTTGGTCCTGCTCATCTCAGCTCAGCATGATGCTGGGAGGGAGTGGTGTGAAGAAATGAGGAATGAAGAAGAGAGGAGGATTCACTAGCAAACATTGGGATACATATAGCAAACCCTAAAACGGTTGTACTCACTATAGAGTACCCCACTGCAGACTAGAGAAACATAATATTCTGACACACCCCCATAGTCAAAGTGGGGTGTAATTAGCAAAACAAGCAAAGCAAAACAAGCTCATAATATTCTGACACACCCCCATAGTCAAAGTGGGGTGTAATCAGCACAACAAGCAAAGCAGAACAAGCTCAGGGTGGATCCCAATGTCACCACACATTATGAGCACAAGTACAAGAAGCAAAAGTTTAAAGTTCACAAATGTAAGCAAAGCTAGAGGCTATCGCAGAGGGCAAGTGTGGAGGAGGGACTATGAGAGGAGAGGAGGTAGTGGGCGGCAGCTGAAGCTGCTGGCACACAGCGCAACTAGAGCAACTAGCACACGGGCAACTGGAGCAACAGGCACACTGGCAATTGGAGCAACTGGCACACGGGCTACTGGAGTAACTGGCTCCGCGGCTAACTCTGAGCGGCAGGAGCAACGGACTCACGGGCGACTGGAGCAACGGGCTCACGGACGACTGGCGCAGCGGGCTCACGGGCGACTGGCGCAACGGTCTCACGGGCGACTGGAGCTGCGGGCTTCACGGCGGCCACCCCCTTCAACCTCCCCAAACTATCCCACCCCCATTTCACGCACCCTCTACTGCACCCCTAGGTTCACTCACACCCCACCCCCTAGCACCACTCCGTCGACTCCCACACACCCACCCCCCTCAACGGCAGCTGCAACAGTGGGAGACAGAGGAGGAGGAGGAGCAGGGGAGACCACACACCCGCCACCCCCCACTCGCCACCCCCAGACCCTAACACACGGCAGGGCGGGACGGCGGGTAGGGAGGTTACGGGGGGGGGGGGGGGGGGGGTGGGGGCCGACGCGCGGCCTCCCAGGGCGCCAAAACAGGCGGCAGAAGGGGCGGCGCTCGCCCCCCTCCCCCAGGTGCGGCCCCCGAGGGAGCCGCGACGGGCGACGGGAAAAGGGGGGGGGGGGCGGTGCACGTGCCCCCGGTGCGCCGCGACTGGCGACGGAGCATGGCCGGGGCGGGGCCGGGGCAGGGTCGAGGAAGGGCCAAAAGGGGCGGCGACGGGGCCGCAAGTGGCTGCGACGGGGCCGCTGGAGGCGGCGACGGGGCCGATAGGGGCAGCGACGGGGCCGCTAGGGCCGGCGACGGGGCCGTTGGCGGCGACGGGGCCGCTAGGGTCGGCGACGGGGCCGCTGGCGGCGGCGACGGGGACGATAGGGGCGGCGACAGGGCCGTTAGGGGCGGCGACGCGGCCGCTGGCGGCGGCGACGGGGCCAATAGGGGCGGCGACGGGGCCGCTAGGGTCAGCGACAGGGCCGCTGGCGGCGGCGACGGGGCCGATAGGGGCGGCGACGGGGCCGCGAAGGGGCAGCGAGGGGCTTGGAAGGGACGGCAACGGGGCCGCAAAGGGGCTGCGAGGGGGCGAGAAGGGCGGCGACGGGGCCGCGAGGGGTGGCGACGGGGCCACTAAGGGTTGCGCGAGGGGCACGCCACGGGGCGTGTAGTACATAGAGTAGCAGCGGAAGCAGTTGGGTGGGCCCACAGGCCAGGAGCGTAGATGCTCTGATAGCATGTTAATAATGACGAATGAAGAAGAGAGGAGGTTCAGTAGCAAACATTGGGATACATATAGCAAACCCTAAAAGGGTTGTACTCACTATAGAGTACCCCACTGTAGACTAGAGAAACATAATATTCTGACACACCCCCATAGTCAAAGTGGGGTATAATCAACACAACAAGCAAAGCAGAACAAGCTTAGGGTGGATCATTCTGACAAGTGGTGCGTGGAAAGGAGGGACAGCTGTTGACGTGCCTTTGGCCAGAGGAGGGGTGAAGAAGGGGGAAGTGGTTCAGCAGGGGTGTGGAGAATTCTCACGCTCACTTGCTTCTCGTGGATCTCTTCAAGTGCTGGTTGTCAAATTATAATGTTGTCTAGGCTTTAGTGGGGTAGCCCATATGGGGTACACATTTCTAGGGTTGCATATTTGTATCACTTTCATTCCATAGTCATTCATTCTCGTTCTACTTTTCTCATGGTATCAAGCAGTGTGAGGATCTGGGATCGAGCTCAGAAAAGATGATTCAAATTGAATTGAATGATCACCTGGGTACAACACGAGGCTATATATAGGCTCGACACAAGGCCCCGTAACCAGGTGTTACGCGAAGGTTCCGCGGGTCGCGAAGCGTCCCGAACAGATCCTTACCGAACTCGGTAGAAGGCAAATCGGTGGCAACCGAAAAGCCAGAATTCGGTGCACGCAACCTAGCTCGGTGCTATAACTACAATAAAATATAGGAAAGCACCTAGCC